CAGTGTATTCATGTGGTGCATCATAAATACATACCGTGCTTAATGGTTAATTAAAACGTAATTGATTTTTTTAAGAATGAATGGTAGATCATGCATGTCTCACCTATCCATTGGTGCAGCGTGTGTCAGGCACTGATGAGTATACAATAGACAACAAGGTAGATGTGGTCCTGCCCCCTGGAGACTGGCATGCTATTGGAATACACAAATATTTTTAAAGTAAATAAAATAGTCACAAACTGTGAAAAATGCTAACAAGGAGACAAACAAAATTGGCCTGGAGAGCCCTGGCTTGGATGGACGCGTCAGAAATGTCCCGCAGAGAGCCAGGGGAAGGACCTTCCAGGGAGAGGGAACCGCAGGAGCTGAGTCCTCTAGGCAGGAAGGCCACTGCCTGCTGAAGGGTCAGAAGAAAGAGGAGAGTCGCTGTTGCAGAGTGAAGGAGGGAGACAAGCCGGGAAGGGGGTGGGGCCCAGAGCCTGTAGAGCTCAGCAGGCCCTGCCTGGAGAGCTGGACTTTATCCTCAGTACACTGGAAGGCAGTGGAAGGTTTTAAGCAGGGGCGTAGCATGGTTCTACTGATGTTTTAAGCTCACTCTGACCTTGTGTAAGAGACTGGTTTGGATGGGGAGACTGAAAGCAGGAAGACCAGCTAGGAGGCTGTGGCAGTAACTGGATACCTCAGAGATGGATGCTGTTCTTTGAGACCCAGGTGGGGCAGCCGAGGTGGAGAGAAGTGGATGGATTTGGGATTTCATTAGCAAAACCAACAGCTAATGGAATGGATATGGGCATGAGAAAAGGTTCTGGCCTTAGTACCTGGGTGGACAGTGGTGCTGTTTACTGAGATGGGATGACTGAGGGACAAGTTTGGAGGAAGGGGATAGGAGAGTTAATGAAAAGTTCCATTTGGGACCTGCTAAATTTAAGGGGCTGAGAGCCACCCAGAGCTGAGCTCAAGGAGGCAGCTATATGTGTGGAGTCATAGGCATGGTGGAGGGAGAGGGCCAGGTCCCACTGAAGAGGGCAGGATGAGGGGTCAGGTCAAAATCTGGCCCACCACTTACCAGCTCTGTGACTTTGACAGTTTTCTTAAAGTTTCCTCATCTGTGGAGTGGGGCTTCCGGCAGCTCCTACCTACATCAGGATTTGTTGTGATGGTTTGAGTTCGTACACAGAAAGAGCTTACATTTCAATAGTGAGAATTCAGTAAATGTCACCTTCCTGTAATAACAATTATCATCATCTTAGCTACAGTAATTTTCTTGCCATTTGTCTCTTTCTAATTAGAATCAAGTACCTTGATAGCTGGTAAACACTTCTCCTGATGTTCTTGGAATTATTCATTTACGAGTCTGTGAGCTCTGAGAACACAGGGTCTGTGTCTCCCACCTTTGTAGTCCTGTAGTGTGGGGCCCAGCACACTGTAGGTGCCCAGTAATGTTTACCCAGTCATATGGAATGAAGAATGTATATTTTTCATGCAAAAATGCATATTTGATTGAATCCATCAAGCATGAAGGATATCAGAAGGAACTTAGACAAAAAAGAAGAAACTCCAATGGGTGTCTTTCTGTGACAATAATTTACAGCATCTTTGCTCCCAAGAATGGAGCTCTTGCTTTCAGAAAGGAGCCTCTTCCAGAATTGGATAGTGGTCTGTGAGAAAGGTTTTCTCTATAGTGAGTCAAATCTGATACCTCCCTGGGATTTGCACACACACAACCCCAATTGAGGGTCCAGAATTTTCAGTACGGCACATCCAGGCCTGTGCGCACCTCTCCCGGAAGCCTCTGTGATGTGTGCTCTGGGACCTTGCTCTCTTACTCTGGCCTGCCTCTCTCTGTCATGTTCATTTTGTCTGAAGCTCCTTCCTTACCCATTTTTCAGGGATTGTTGGTCCCTTGGATGAAGCCCACAGTCGCAGCAAGGGTCCCCCCTCCTCCCCTGGAGATAGATGCTGTGTTTACATTCTGGAAGGATCCATGGTTTCTCCTTGTGTTCTTTCTGGGCCCCTAGTCTCTGCCCTCTCCCAGATAAAAGTCAAGACACCCAGTTATATTTCAGTTTCAGATAAACAATGAATAATGTTTTTAGTATAAGTGTGTCCCATGAAATATTTCTCAAGTATTTTTATTTGCTAAATCTGGTAACCCTAGCTGTAGGAGAGCCACGTTCAAGACCCCCATGAGCTGGGCCAAGAAGTTCTATGGCTCAGCCACGTTCTGTGCCCTAGAAGCTCAGGTCTCGGATGCTGATGCCATAGACTGAAGCCAGGCCCTGGTCCTCCAGCCAGTCCTCCGCCACTACCAGGGTAACCCTCTGTCTTCCCTGGATAGCCTTTCAATGGCGTTTGGGTGTTCTTGACTTTCCCACCTGCCATGAAAAGCCCTTAATCCTGGAGTCCAGATTCTGATCAACTCTGGGCCCCTAAGTACCTTTCATTGTCCCTCCCAGGACTCTCCTACAAATAGGCCCTTGGAGGCCTGGCCTGACGCTTAGGTCCTGAGACAGGTGTGCAGAGCAGACCCCCCAACTCAACACCAGGCTTCTGACTCCAGTCCTTGGAATCCATCTGCATCCCAGCAGGTCCCCCTGGTGGCCAGAAGCAAACGCTTCATGTCTAGCATCTAGAGCCAAAGCATCTCCTACCCCTGGGTTCCCATTCCGGGATAGTTTTCAGACCAAGGCTCCTCCGCAGAGATGAGTGATATGTCAGGGAACCAGGGACAGGCCAGGGCCACACACATCACATTCACTTATTGGGACTCTTGTGGTCATTCACTCCTCAGGTGCTCAGGAGTCTCAGCGCCATAAACCTGGGACAATGGCCCCCTCTCATTCCTCACAAACTTCGCCCTTACTTCCACCACAAAGTGGGTTCATTAGAGGCAGGAACAGAACCAGGAATCTCAAACACCAGGCTCCTCCCCTTAGTTCCCACCCCCTGAGTCAGCAAGCAGGGGGAGCGTGAGGGGGTCTGGGACAGCTCTGACTCCAGCTGACACACCTGCCTCTGGGTAGGGGCGGTGCATATCTGAGAAGCGGGCAGGCACACATGGAGAAGACAGAGTCCATGCCCTCTGCTCCATCCCAGAAGCCACTATGTCAACTTAGCCCCTCATCACTTCACACTTTGGCAGTGGCTTCTGTCCACTCAGCTGGTTCAGTTGGCTCTAGCACGTCTCCGGGCCTCTAGAGTTGGCTCAGGCCCACCCTCCATCCTCTCCTAGGGTTGGCCATCCAACCATATCACTCCCCTCACGGCTTTTAAGGATAAAGTCTGAAGCCTTAAGGACTACGTCACATGTCCTCTGTGGTCTAGGCCCTGCTTACCTCAGCTTCTGCCTAGAAGTTTATGCCCCAGAAACACTGAAACCTCCGTGGTTACCCTCACACAGCCTGCATGTCTCGACACCATGCTTTTGCTCATACTGGTCCTGCTCACAGCTTTTCTGCTCTCTCTTCTCCTATCTCCTGAGTTAAGACACAAGCCAGATGCAGTTGCTCATGCTTGTAATTCCACCACTTTGAAAGGCCAAGGCAGGAGAATTGCTTGAGGCCAGGAGTTCGAGAGCAGCCTGGGCAACATAACAAGACCCTGTCTTTACAAAAACAAATTTTTGATGAGCTGGATGTGGTGGTGCATCCCCGTAGTCTCAGCTACCGGAGTAACTAAGACAGGAAGATCACTTGAGCCCAGAGGTCTGAGGCTGCAGTGAGCTATGATCGCACCACTGCATTCTAGCCTGGGCGACAGAGCAAGACCCTGCCTCAAAAATTAAAATAAAATAAAATAAAATAAAATAAAAATAAAATAAAATAAAAAGACACAGATAGCCCAATGGTCATCTCCCTCAGGAAGCCTTGCTGGATCCCCTAGTCTCTGCCTGGCCACTTCCTTGCACTCCCGCAGCACATGTGTTCTGTAACAGTGCATGCCTCTTACCCCTCAATTCTTGCATTTGCCACATTGAATTATAACAACCCATTCCTGTGTCCTCTCCTTTTCCAGGCAGTGGGGCCCCAAGGGCAGGGATGGTGACATGTTGACCTTTGTGTTTTCAGCACCTAGAACAGAGCTTAGCACAAACAGGTATTCAATAAATGCTTAGTGGTTTGATTTAATAATTAATTGATTGATCAGTTCATTGTGAGAAGGAAGTAATATCCTTTATAAGCAGAATTTGTAGCACCTTCTTGATTCCATTGATTCTCCTCCCCACCCTTCCCTAACCTCTTTCTCAATGCTCCGGGCTGGCTGGATGACAACTTCCCATGCACCTTGCCATTTATATTCCCGTTTGATCTTGCCAGTTCTCTGTCTTGCGACTGTTTTGAATGCAGAGAATCCACCCAGTATGTGTTCATTCAGCTCCCATTAACCTCTGTGTCCTTTGCCCTCTCGGGCCCTGGGATGGAGAGGCTCACCAGACAAGGCCCTTGATCTCAGAAGTCCCCAGCCTAGAGCAGGCAGTCAGACAAATAAACAGGCAAATAGTTAGGTCCTGTGATTGCAGGACAGGGGGACGGTAGATGAACAGGCCAGCTCTCCACACAGACCACCTGGGTTCAAATCCTAGCTCCACTGCTTTCACACTGTGTAGCCTTGGACAGGGCCCTTATCTGCGTCTGTTTCCCCATGGGTAAAAGAGAGGTCACAGGATTTACCTCTTGGGCTATGTGGGGATTCAATGAATTAATTCATGCAAAGAGCTTAGCAAGAGTGCCTAGTCCATAGTAAATATTCAATACGTATTAGTCGTTATGTGACTTAGCTCAGTATGCCATGGGAGCACACAAGAGACTAGACAGATTCACAGCAGTCATAAAGGACAAAGGATCAAGAGACATCCGGAGGCAATCATTTTAATTGGAGTCTAGGAACAGGCAATTTACATGAAACACAAATGCAGTGTTCCAGGGTACTTCCTGCAGAGTTTGTCCCTGTGCCCCTCTGGGAAGCCGCTGCACCCGCATGATGTCTCTTCCCTTCCTTAGGGCTGACGACTGCTTTTGTGCATCTCGGAAGCTGGATGCAGTGGCCATCGAAGCCAAGTTTAAGCAGGACCTGGGTTTCCGGATGCTGAACTGTGGACGAACAGACTTGGTGAAGCAGGCGGTGTCTCTGCTGGGGCCTGATGGGATCAATACCATGAGTGAACAGGTACAGGGGCCAAGGGTCTGAACGCTCCCCACCTCCTCCATGTGCACCAGCCCTGGCAAGACAGAGACAGCTGGTGAATCCCCACCGCAGGCGTTGGGCAGAGGCTCCCCCTGCTGACGGTTTAGATTGCTTGCTTGCTTGTGTTTTTCTTCAGTTTTTAAAATATCTTAGAAAAATACTGTGGTTCATCTTTATAGAAGTAGCACATGATCATTGCAGCTGAAATGGAAAAGGGAGGAAAAATAGGCCCATTCCAGAAAGGAAATAATGCCATCACCATGTAACCATCATTTATATTTAGTATCTGTCCTTCAAGTCCTTCTTCCAGGGTGGTTAAAATTAGTTCTCTGCTTGTCTGTCTGTTCCTGCACAGGACAAGCCCAGACAGATTTCATCAAACTTTTAGAGTATGTTTAAGATGCACAAAAGTCATTCTGGGGACCCTAGGAGGTGCCTCAGAGATAGGCAGCTATCCACCCTAACTCCTGAAACTGAGGTACAGTGAGAGATACGTGGGCCCACCAGTCAGGGAGATACCTTGTGTGGTGAACTGTCATGGACAGAGAAAACAAACAGCAGTTATAAATGCAAGTCTCACATGGAAAGTCACAAGAGACAGATGGGGCCGCTTCTCACATGGCAGCTCATGCAGTGAGTTCCAGAGACGGAATGACAGGGACTATTTATTTAACTACAGCTATAGTAATTTTATTGAGCAACACCAAGGAGCTCTAATACACACAAACACAAACGCAGACATACATGTATATTTATATTCTTTTTAAAACCCCAGTGATTTATTACATTTTGCCTTTTTCAATATTTTATATTAAAGTTCCTTTGCAATATTGTTGAATATTCTTTTTTTTTTTTAAGAGATGAGATCCCACTATCTTGTCCAGGCTGGCCTTGAACTCTTAGGCTCAAGAGATCCTCCTGCCTCAGCCTCCTGAGAAGCTGGGACTACAGGTGTGCACCACCACATCCAGCTTATTTTTATATTTTTTATAGACACAGGGTCTCGCTACACTGCCCAGGCTGATCTCGAACTCTTGGCCTCAAGGGATCCTCCCACCTTGGCCTCCCAAAATGCTGGGATTACAGGCATGAGCCACTGGGCCCAGTGTCTTTTTTTTAAAATCACTTTTAATGGCTACACAAAATGGTCATTATTATTTATTCATTGACCAGGCCTCAATTGTTGGAAATTTAGGTCGTTTCAAATTATTTTTATTAATAATGCTAAGCTAAATATATTTACATGAGTCTTTGTTCAAATCTGTGATTATTTCATTAGGGAAATTTTTTAAATGCAAATAGTGGCTCAAACGCACCCGCTTTTCTTAAGGTTCTCAATCTTAAATTACTTTCCCAGAACTTTTGTTTCCTTTTACACACCCTCCAGCTATATGTGTGTTCACTATTACTGTTCTGCTTATCTTTTGCCTGTTTTTCATTAGAGCTTTACTGTTTTTCTTCTTTATTCAGGAGTGCTGTTTACGTATTAGGGACATAATCCTTTGTTATAATGTGATAAATATGCCTCAATTCTTTGTTTACCTTTTGATTTTGCTTATAATGTTTTCAATTACACGTCCTCAATGCTGTAATGATTTTCGTTTGTGATTTCTTCCATTCCTTTTGTGCCTAGAAAGAAATCCACAAACCAGTTAGGTATCTTTTATGGTTTTAATTTTTGCTGTATATCTCTAATCAAACTAGAAATGATTTTGATGTGTGGCGTGAGAAAAGTCTCTAATTTGGATGTTTTCCCAAATAACCGACTTCATGACACTGTTTGTTGAAAATCCATCCTTTCCTTCTGTTGGTTGTGATGCTTCGTTTACAGAAACAAGGGTCATTGGTGAATCTGGTATTCCTGAAGGCCATTCCTCATTCACTTGCCTTTTGCTTGCAAATGACCATGTCAAACCAGATGCAGTGATGGGCAACGCCACATGCTCAGAGGCACTCAATTTCCCTTGATGCTGACCAGCAGCTTTTATAGAGCAAAGATGACACTTGTTATATTGTGAAAGAGAAAATGTCAGATAAACAGTGTTTACCAATGAGGTAGCTTAGGGCTGATAATGCAGAATCAATCTAGAAAGTTCCTAAGAGCTTTAAGGGTTTAACAAACACCCTTAGGTCTGTTGCACCCTGAGACAGGCAAAGGAACGAAAATCCTCCAAGGCAAGGAAAGATAAATGCTGAAAAGGCCGTGGAGGCTACCTCATCGCCTCTATTTTGGTTTCCACATGTGGAGGGTTGTGACCTTACGAGTCGCAGCACTGCACGTTTATTTTTGTCATGCCAGAGCACAAGCATGGTCTCCGAAACACAAGTAAGATTTTTCATTTGTTATCGTCGACTGACCACGGCCACCTTGTAAACGTTCTCTGTTCTCTGGTTTTTAACTCACCACAGGGCATGACTCCCCTGATGTATGCCTGCGTCCGTGGGGACGAGGCGATGGTTCAGATGCTGCTGGATGCCGGAGCTGACCTGAATGTGGAGGTGAGGGTGCAGAGGCCTGCAGGGCCCCTCAGCCGGCAGTCCCCAGGGGAAGGCGAGCAAGAAAGGGAGGCTATTTCTCCCAAGAGCTGCCGCTGAGGGTGCACAGTGCAACACATAGATCCTTCCTGTGTACTTTTAGTTGCTGTGGCCCTGGTGAGACCACCATCCTGAGGCTCCAGCTCAACCAAACCCCAAGGAGCTGCCTGCATGTATGTTATGTTTAAAAACAACCAACATAACCGCAAGGAGCGCTGGCTTTTCCTTGACTCGGCCGTCCCGATTTCCAGAGTTCCCGATTCCCACGGCTGATCCATTTCTTCTAGGATGGGGCAGAAAGAGCACTCCTGAGCCATCAGCCCTCTCTTTCCACTGAACACACAGGAGAGGAGGCACTGACTCAATCCCTACACCGAAGTCTCCCTCTTGCAGATCCTCCATGCTCCCCCTCCAAACCCTGTTTGGCTCACCTTGTTGGCTGAGTTGACAGATCTTAAAGCTAATCTCAGAGCTTCCCTGAGACAATGTGGTCTGGTGGAAAGCATGTCCCCCCAAAAACCCTGCCCTCCCTTCCCCCCTGCAACACTGGCCTTAGAATCTGACAGATTTGGGTTCAAGTTCGGATGCCACCACTGCCCTGGTGACTTGCTTTTGTGCTTGGGCAAGTACCTTAACCTTTTTTCTCCCAATCTGCAGAATGGGAGAATAATCGCACCCATCTCATATAGTTGTCAGAAGGGATATAGAGAGTAAGTTTGGAACTCAGTTAATATTGGTCCCTCCACCCACACCCCAACCTCGTCATAGGTGAAATACCACCTTTTTACCATGTTCTGCGCTGCCTGAAGACCTGCTCTCCCTGGCGGCAAGATATTGGCAGTATCAGACAGCAAAGAGATTGATGGGCTGAAATCATCATTCAGCAACCCTGGGAAACCTTTTCAGTTCAAAATTAGATGCCCTTGCAGTCTCAGTACTGAGTGTGTGTGTTTTTTTAAATGTGAGTTTTATATTTATCTGAGAAAAGCAGACAATAGACATAGTTTTGGATCCAGAATCATTTTGGATCCTATAACTTTGGAATCTGTGGGGATTTTCCCTCCTGCTGTGAATCCTTAAGCACCATGCACACCCGCGCAAGGGGTCCTCAGCGTTGGGTTCTAGGGCATTCTCGGGTCCTCTCTAGCCCATCCCACGGATCTCAGCTCAGGCCTTCCTCCAGTGGATGCTTAGTGAACCAAACTGCTCTGAGTGAAGCAGGCATTGAGGTTACATGACCCCAGGAGTGTTTGGGAGAAAAGCTCCATGTGGGTGCTGCTCTTGCAAGAGCCTAGCCTTCAGCTGCCCTGTCTCTTCTCTCTTGGCCTGCAGTGTTTTGAGGCCCCCATCCTGAAAGCCCAGTCTCAGATTGTTCATTCGTGATGTGTCCTAGAAAAGCTTCATGCCCATATTGCGGTAGCACCAGAGGGTCCTTGTCAACCAGGAAGCCAGCAGAAGAGTGAAATGAGAACAGGGTAGGGCCAGTTGTGATCAGACAGTGAAGTTCCTCCATCAGACGAGTGATGGACTTCCCTGGCTTGAAAGCTGAAAGCAGACCGTCCCTTGCCTGGGGTTTGCCACCACTGAGAATCTCTCTTAAAAGTATGGATGGCATGGTAGTGGCATCTCATGCTCTCTGACATCCTGTAGCTCCCAGAACCACCACCCTCTGTTAGGTAGAAAGAGGAAGGAGACAGGCCAGAAAGCTGGCTCATTGTAATCGCCATTACAGCTTCTCCAAAGCACCTTAGAGGCGATCAGAATCATCCATTATTTCCTTTCAGAGAAGCAAAGGAGTCCTTATGCACAGAGGACGTAAAGTCACTGAGACATTTTCTCACTGCCTTCAAGGGTAAAATCTCCAAAACACGGACTTCCAGTGTCCTGGCTTTGGAGAATTGCTTTGGTCTTTGTTCTTACAAACACAAACAGGACAGATCCACGGCTTTGGTGAGACGTGTTTGGAGCATCCAGCAGTGGAAAATCCCTGCCCTGTATTGCCAGCTCTGCCCAAGGCATCCTCCAGCATGTCTTTTTGTCCATCTCTAGCCCATATGCCCAGCCACAGATAGGTCAAATTTGCTAGCCTAAGTATTGTGAAGGTCACATTTTGAAAATAACTTCAATTTGTTTATAGGTTGTCAGTACTCCTCATAAATATCCATCCGTCCACCCCGAGACCCGCCATTGGACGGCTCTGACTTTTGCTGTGTTGCATGGACATATTCCTGTAGTTCAGGTATTAACGTATTTCCCTATCCACATCTGACCTTTGATTTTACCTCTTCCATAACACACATCTATACCTCTCCCAGCATGCATATTCTCTAAGACATTCATATTGGTTAACTGCAATTCAATATAGCATATTCATATCATGTGAATAAAAATATTATATGTAGTGATCTATATGGCCAGGCTTTAACCAATATGAAATGATCACGTATCCACACACAGCCTCACACACAGAGTGACAGACCCATGAAGTTCTTCCTGGTTGCTCTGGGGTGGGGCCTCAGCTGTTTTCATGGATTTGTTCATTTTGCTTGTTGCAACATGAACATGGTTGCTACTGATATCTTAGAACCTTCCCTTAGGTGTGACCCCTGGTGTTTGTGTAGAATCCAGTGGTTTCCAGCCAGTGGGAGGAAGCATCCAAGACACCAAGGGAGTGTTTCCAAAAGACACTTGCTTGGATCCCACTTCTTGAGAATCAGATCCAGGAGGTCTAGAGTAGGGCCTTGGCTATGTGTCTTCTGAAACAGCTCCAAGCACAGTGACGTGTCCTCATTGGAGGTCCTTTGGGCATATAAATGTGTATTGCTTGCACTTTTTCTGGCTGTTGTAGTTGCTGTTCAGTGAACAGCCATACAGTACATTCTGAATCATAAGCGTGATCTTTACTTCATCAGAAAAGAGAGATCAGCATCCGAGTTCATGACCACACCTGGTCCTGTAGTGAGTGCTGCGCTTTGGGCACATCAGGAACTCACCTCCTTTTGTGTGGTCTATGCCTCTTGATTCCATGCAGAGCAGGGACAGTTCTGCAATGCTGGAATTTTATGGGAATCCTTTGTTGTTTCCTAGGTCATGAGAATCCTTAGAACAGATCCCAAGTCATGTTTCAGGAGGCTGAGAGTGTGACGTGTCACACTGAGAGCTGGCTTCTGCCTATAGAACAGTATGCCCAGTCCACTCCTGGTAGAGGAAACTAAGAAAGAAGGGGTCGGATGGTGGTCTGGTGGACACAGATGTCATTCTTTAACATGCAAGGACATTCTCAACCTTTAAATCAGGAATGGGAACAGTGAGCAGTCAAGCAAAGTCACACAGAAGTCAGGCCACCTCCCTGCCGCAGGGCCAGCGATCACGGAGTGCCAAGTAGGTGGCTCCCCCACGGCCGTGCCCTCAGGGAGCCCTAAGTAGGCAGTAAAGATAGCAGATTTTTCCCCCATTTTCCATCAGCAGTGCTGACAGCACATTCACTGTGAATGAGATCCAGCATGAACAGAATCCCTGCCTCTTTAGGAAGCCCAGCTATCTCAGGGAATGCACAGAATGAAGCCATATGAAGCAAAACTTCTGGAAGTTCACTCTGCCACTTTATTAACTGATCTTGCTGGCCAGAAACCTTAGCATTTGCTAAACTGTCCTCAGGGCCATCCAGGTGGGGCCCTGGGGGCCCCCCAAAGTCCTTCAGAACTCTTGAGAGTCTGTGGTTCTATGAGGCTACCCTAGTGCCCTCTGAGGCTTTGTGTAACCAGCCCAAGAGGGGAATCTTCCAGCATTCCTGTGCCAAGGACCTTTAGCCCAGTGCTTCCAGAAATGTTAATGTATGTACACATCCCCTGGAGATCTTGTTAAAATGCAGACTCTCATTCAGTAGACCTGGGTGGGGCCTGAGAGTCAGCATTTCCCACAAGCTCCCAGGTGGTGCTGATGCTGTTGTGCATGGAACACACTCTGAGTAGTCTGGGGTTCTAGCAGCAGTGAGAGGCTCTCAATTCATCCTCTGAGGTACAGTTGCCCTTCAGCCTGTGCACGCGGTCACCGACCCAGAGGGAGGGAAGGAGCGCTGGCATCTCACCGATCCCAGCAGTCTTTCCTGACGCCTGTGCACAGTGTATCTCCTCTCACCGTCTCGATGACCGCTCTTCCTCCGCAGCTCCTTCTGGATGCTGGGGCCAAGGTGGAAGGCTCGGTGGAGCACGGCGAGGAGAACTACTCGGAAACGCCCCTCCAGCTGGCAGCTGCTGTAGGTAAGAGCTGCCAGTTCTCACCCTGGCCAGGGAGCTCCAGCGCACCCTGGCCCTTGAAGTGCCTGTGACTATATTTTTGCTTTATTCTCTTATAAAACCCCCTTCTCTGGGCTTGCAGGAAATTTTGAGCTGGTTAGTTTGCTGTTGGAGCGTGGTGCCGATCCCCTGATAGGAACCATGTACAGGAATGGAATTTCTACAACCCCCCAGGGTGATATGAACTCTTTCAGCCAGGCTGCAGCCCACGGACACAGGTAGGCTAGGATGGGCCAGAGCCAGAGATCCCAAGTGGTGCTTGTTAAAAATGCAGATTCCCAGGCCTACCCCAGACCCATTGTCTCTCTGGATGTGGGGCCCAGAGGCAGTGTGAGGTGGTCCAGGCCCCGGGCCTGGCCAGAGCGACCCTGCCTGCCAGCTGACAGCCAGCTCCATGCAGTGCACATCCACTCAGAATGCCTTATTTTACCCGCCCCTGGCCAGCTTTAAACTCACGGAGAGACGTCACTCTTGGTTGGTTTTGCTCAGAGCACATCATGTCAGCTGCTGTGAAGTATAAGAATCCATTTTAAAAATAATAAAACCTTTTGTGTTTGGTGACTTCCCTTCTACATCTCCTTCAGAATTTCCCCCCTGATCATCAGCTTTCATTACACATAACCCCGAGCAAAGCACATTCACTGTGGAGGGAGGGCAGGCTGACGGTGACAAGTGCAGAGTTCTAGAGCCTTCTAGATTTTTGAGGAAATCACTTAGCTCCAAGTTGCCTCAAGGAAACAAGGCCAGTCATGCCCCATCATCTCCTCCATCCTCAAAACGTGACACCCACTGTTAGGCCTCTGAAAGTGCCACCCGTTGTTCTCGTCATCCTCCCACCCAAGTTAGTGGCCCCGTGCTTCCCCAGCCTGCCCTTGCCCTGCCCCGGCAAAGCCACTTCCATCTCTGAGTGTCATCCTCTCTGGGTTTATGATTGACAGGAATGTGTTCCGCAAACTGCTCGCCCAGCCAGAGAAGGAGAAGAGTGATATCCTGTCCCTGGAGGAGATTCTGGCTGAGGGGACTGACCTGGCAGAGACAGCCCCGTCCCCTCTGTGCGCCAGCCGCAACAGCAAGGCCAAACTGAGGGCCCTGAGGGAGGCCATGTATCACAGCGCTGAGCATGGCTACGTGGATGTCACAATTGATATCAGGAGCATAGGTCAGTCTGGGCACCCTCCACCACGGGCACCATGGTGCCGCCAGCTTTAGGTCCACATGCACATGAGCACGCATGCACGCACACACACACATGCAAAACACGCACATTCACACACACACAAGGGGGCCCAGGGAGCCTCCCGTTTACCAGTTGAAACACTTCCAGGCCAAGATACCCACACCATCCCCATAGATAGCGTCCTGCCTGCCCCAAAGACCCGTCCTCAGACCATCTTTCCATGATTCCCAAACACTGGACCCTGGGGCAGGAATTCAAATCACCTGGGGAACTGGTCTGAATACCGATTGCCAGGCCCTACACCCAGAGGCTCTGCTGTCGAGGGTCTGGATGGATAAAGGCTGGAAATCTTTATATTTAACAATCATCCCAGGTGGTTCCCAGTGGTTGAGGAATCACTGCCTTTAGAGCAGCCAAGTCCACGAAGCAGCACTGGGCAGTTGTTAGGGTGAGGGCGCCCCTTTCTTACTACAACTCCTCTTGAGCTTCTGAGGGCAAATCCACTCTCAGGAAGGTTGAGCTGGCTCTTCTTTGGGTGAGCTAGCCCAGAGCCATCTCCTCCGTGTGTCTGGGGAACAAGGCTAGCCTAGCCTTCACCAGCCTAGTGGCTTTCGCTCTGGCTTGGAAACAGCCGGACCTAGCCACGGGTCCCTAAACACAAGGTGTGGCAGATTAAGGCAGGCTGAGGGCTGAGGAAAGACTCCTAATGCTGTTCTGGAAACGACCTCTCTCTCCAGGGAAGGTGGGGAGGGGTTAGTATGTGAAACATTTGTGCTATTGCCCTGGGAGCCCATTTTGCATGATTGTGAAGCTCGAGATTCTGAATGGGCTACTTGTTATAAACAGTAGCGAGACTCCTCGTCCGTCTGTGCCTCTGCATGAGAGGGGAGAGGCAAATTACAGCAATCAGCTGCTGGAGAGGCCCCTGTTAAAGGAGGAAGACCTGATGAAGTACCTGCAGATGGAAATCTTGTTTTGCACAGAGGAGCGGCAGGAATATCCTCCCATGTCTTCTTATTCGGGTGTGAATATCTGTCTTAGCCGAAGCTGTAAATGCTGAAGTCCACCAACGGGTTTCACCAGCTCTAAGCTCTCATCTGGGCATGGATGTGTTCCAGATCCTTGGGCACATCCACTCTTTAATCCTGGGCGAGACTCTTCTCCCCACTGAGCTTCTTTCCCCAGTAAGTAGAGGGGACGGAGCCTATGCGCTCAGAATCCAGAAATATGGCATATACATAAGTAGCATGCATAATAATTCCAATATACTACACGATGATTATATCTTGTGAAATGCAGCCCCTAATCATATGAGTAGCATGCAGAGATGGACACCCATAGTTGAGGGATTATGACCTTTAATTTCAACTTTTGCAGGTCTTTGGGAAAAAGTCTACGCTTGTTCTATTCGTTGAAAGTCAATCCCTTGGTCTCGTCATTTAGTAATGTCCTGGGGAAAAGCCAACTTCCAGATAAAAACTCGCCTACTCCTCTGGTTGTTTTCTGCCTTTCCCCTCTCTCTCCCCCTCCCCTGCCACCTTCCCTGGCTCCTCTTCCCGCTCCAGGCGTCCCGTGGACTCTACACACCTGGCTGGAGTCTTTGCGGATCGCCTTCCAGCAGCACCGCAGGCCTCTCATCCAGTGCTTGTTAAAGGAGTTTAAGACCATTCAGGAGGAGGAATACACGGAGGAGCTCGTGACCCAAGGCCTGCCCCTGATGTTTGAGATCCTGAAAGCCAGCAAGGTATGTGGGGTTTGAGGCTGTTGTGGCCGTCGGCAGAGAACAAAGCCGGAGGTTCCCAGATCTGAACGGTATTTTAGCCTGGTGTTCCCCTTTGAGTGGGATCACTATGGTCATAGTACCCAGTGGCGAATGTACCCCGGCAGACGAAAGCTACCTGTGCACTCATTTGTGGGGCGGCTGTCTTGCTGAGCATCTGCATGAGCTGAGGCATTTGGGCACATGGGCACATGGACAGCTTAGATACCTTCTAACTCAAGGAACTTGCAGAAGAGCTAGAAAGATGATACCAACATGTGTGCCCCAACAGCATTATGAGACAGTTGATAAGACAGTATTAAATGTGGGGGTGCAGGCTAGGACAGGTGTGGGAGTTCAGGAGGGAGTAATGGGAGGGTGGGCCCCCCTGAGGTGCTGAGACTAGACCATGTCAGGATGGACGATAGAAATCGGTAGGATGAGGGAAATGGGTGCAGCTTTCTGGATAAATAGAACACAGACCCTGCTGAGGTTTCTGGAAAGCCAGGCCCTGGGAGAAGGCTTTTCAGGTCGAGAGAGTCAAATGAACCTAGCTCTGACCTCTTGGGATTTACCCCTGCTGACGCCTATATCCCCAGCAACAGGGAAATGCAGCCTCTTCCTAACAGCAGTCCAGCCTTTCAACTATGACAACATTAATTCTTAAAAATCTCTTTGGGGTTGTTTGGTGATGCTCTCTAGACACTCCAGTCCCCACAGGACCCCAGCACCAGCCCTCTCACCTCTTTGCCCCAGAACAGCCTTTGTGGAACTCTGGGGTCTACCACGGAGCCTGGGAAGTCTCAGTGGAAATTGGCCTCTGAACCAAAGGGCAGTGTGGGTCCCCCTGCCAAACTGGGCTGCGTGACTGTCCATGGGGCGTTAGAGGGGACATAGGGCTGCTTCCTCCACACAGCAGGGACAGCCCTTCCGTAAGGAGGCAGCAACACAGCATCTCTGCTTTCGGAGCTCTGGGCCTTGGGTGGAAAGCAAGTCCCATTAGGTGTTCTCATTAGCGCCTGTCCTTAGCCTGGTGTCCCGGGGCCATCTGCAGGCTGGATTTGTGCTTAAGGTCAAGACCCACCAGGACCCCAAATGGGAGCAGGTGCATCAGGCCTAGGATAACAAGCTTCAGCGAGTCCATGAGGAGTAAAACCTGCTGGAAGCATTTCAAAACCAAACTCCCTGCCCGACTTAAAAATAGGTAAATGAATAAAGAGGCTTTCACCTGAAATCACCTAAGAAACTGTCTTAATGAGAAACATGGCTGGGTCTGTTCCCAGGGTCTGGTGTTCAATCATTTTTGAGGTTTTCTTTGTCTGTTTGTTGTTTTCAACTTTTCTTCAGGCTATACTGGGAATTCCAGAATTTATTGAGACATTCTGTTTATTAAGTAAACCTAAACTGTGAGTTCTAAAACTTTACTTTGAAATATGGCATATGTACAGAAAAGTAACCAGCTCATAACTACAAAGCCAAATGAATTTTCATAAGATAGACAAACTGTTCAATCCGCATCCAGACCAAGAAACGGAACATGACTAGCACCCGAGTGGTCCCCTCACGCCCTGCTCTGCTGCTATCCCCCAAAGGGCCGCCACTCTCCCGATGTCTAACACCACACTTTGTTTTGCCTGGAGCCACAGTGTGTTTGACTTGGACAGCTCATTAGATAGGAAATAGTTCTCAGAACCTGAACCCATGATTATAAGAATCTACAGGCTGCAGCGTACAAACTACCCTCCATTCACAGAAGTGGTGGGTGCTCCCATCGTTTAATAGTCAGTCATTTGAAAATCAGGTTGACTGGGTACGGGGGCTCATGCCCATAATCCCAGCACTTTGGGAGGTCGAGGTGGGAGGATCGCTTGAGCCCAGGAGTTCGAGATTAGCCTGGACAACATGATGAAACTCCGTCTCTACAAAAAATACAAAAATTAACTGGGCATCGTGCTGTCTCAAGAGGAGGGAGGCAGTGAAGGGTGTTTTGCTTTTACAGGGGGTTCAATGGCATCCCCTACTGGTGAAATATGGCTTTACACATCACATGAACTGACCACGGGCCCCGGGGGAGGTTAAAGAGGAAATCCGTTTCCCCGAGCCTGCAGGGTGAAGTCACCCATTCCCCAAGCACAGCGGACATTCTTATGGTCAAAAGAAAAACTGGAGAGAGATGATGGCAGAGAAATTCCAAGTTGAGAAGACAGTCTCCTGTTGGACGATAGGGCGGCCATCCATCACATAGCCAGCCGGCATTGTTCCTTTTCCCTGCACTCTAGGATTCCTGTTCAAATGTTTGTCCAAACAAATATCTTTTTTTTTTTTTTTTTTTAAGACAAAATCTCACTCTGTCGCCCAGACTGGAGTGCAGCAGTATGATCTTGGTTCACTACAACCTCCGCCTCACAGGTTCAAGCCATTCTCGTGTCTCAGCCTCCCAAGTGGCTGGGATTACAGGCATGCACCACCATTCCTTGCTAATTTTTGTATTTTTAGTAGAAACAGGGTTTCACCATGTTGGCCAGGGTGATCTCGAACTCCTGATCTCAAGCAATCCTCCCATCTCAGCCTCCCCAAGTGCTGGGATTACAGGTGTGAGCCACTGCTTCTGGCCAAACATCTTGTTTTATCAGAGTAGTGAATAGATTATTGCCAATAAATCCACTTTATGGTCAATTTATAGAAACAGCTGTCCTGTAAAGTGAGGCATATTCCTGCCACCATTCTTGGTTTGTGCTCTCTCAAACCATACTTGAAATCTGACCGCACATCTGCTTCTATGTTCTTGCTTCTAAATTTGAACTTCAAATGAATTCAATGTCTCCAGACTTCCCCAGGAGCAGAACAATATATTCATTTTTTAAAATACATCTGTTTAAAAAGAGTTCCCAACTTCTTTTTCTTTTTTTTTTTTTTTTTTTAAGATGGAGTCTTGCTCTGTTGCCCAGGCTGGAGTGTGGTGGTACAATCTCAGCTCACTGCAACCTCTGCCTCCTGGGTTCAGGCAATTCTCCTGCCTCAACCTCTCAAGTATGCTGGAACTACAGGTGTGCGCCACCACTCCCAGCTAATTTTTGTATTTTTAGTAGAGAGGGGGTTTTACCACATTGGCCGGGATGGCCTCAATGTCTTGACCTCCTGATCTGCCTGCCTTGGCCTCCCAAAGTGCTGGGATTTCAGGTGTGAGCCACTGTGTCCTGGCCTTTTTTTTTTTTTTTTTTTTTTTTTGAGACAAAGTCTCACTCTGTTGCCCAGGCTGGAGAGTAGTGGTATGATCTCAGCTCACTGCAACCTTGCAACCTCTGCCTCTCAGGTTCAAGCTATTCTTGTGTCTCAGCCTCCTAAGTAGCTGGGATTACAGGCACCCACCACCATGCCTGGCTACTTTTTGTATTTTTGGTAGAGACAGAGTTTCACCATTTTGACCAGGTTGGTCTCGAACTCCTGACCTCAGGTGACCTACCTGCCTCGGCCTCCCAAAGTGCTGGGATTACAGGCATGAGCCACCACATCTGGCCTCTAGCTTGTTTTTCTAACACAAAATTCCTCTAGGCATAATCAAGAGATAATCAGGAGTGTCCACTTGGTTCCAGGCACTACTGTGGTGATGGGACAGACATGTTCTTTATCCTCCTGGAGCTTACTGATAGGGAGCAAGAAAATAAATCAACAAAACAGAGTCAGAGCATGATCAGTGTTTACAAAATGAAATTGGACCATTATGGTCTCTGGGGGTGGGGCTGGTGAGGTCTAACTTAGACAAAATGGTCAGGAAGTTTTCCCTGAGAAAGTGGCATTTGAACAACCACCTAAGTGAGGAAAAGCTTCCAGCCGTGCAGAGATCTGGGGCAAAAGCATAAGAGAACTGCAGGTGATTAGGCTCCTAGTAGGAACATGTTTGTGTGCTCAAAGGAAAAAGTGTAGGAGATAAAAATCAGATTGCACTGGGCCAGGGAAAGTTTGGGTTTTCCTCTATATGTAATGAATGGGACACGACAAGAGAGGTTTTAGATTGGGGCAAAGTGTGATCTGTGGGGGTTTTTTAAAATTTTTTTTTAAGTTTTTAAGATTTTCATTTTGTGATGAAAAACTCAAAACTTAAAATGTTTCTGTTTTTAAACTTTTTATTTTAAGATAATTATAGATTCATGCAGTTGTAAAAAGTGATACAGAGAGATTCCTGTGTACCATTTACACAGGGGGATCTCAGTTTCTCCCAACAGCAATATAAAACTATGGTAAAATATCACAACCAACATAGTGACATGATTGTCAACAAGCAGAAAATTCCCATCACCACAAGGATTCCTCATGTTGCCCTTTTAGAACCACACCCACTTCCCTCCTGCCTCCACCCGTCAGCCCCTACCTAGCCTCCATTTCTCTAATTTTGTCATTTAAAGAATGTGATTTAAATGGAATCATACAGTATGTAATTTTGGAGATTGGACTTTTGGCACTTACCATAATTCTCTGAAGATCATCCAGGATGTTGCATGTATCCACAGCTTGTTCCTTTTCATTGCTGCGTAGTATTCCATGGAATAGATGTACCCCAGTTTGCTTAAGCACACAACTGTTGAAGGACATCTGAGTTGTTTCCAGTTTTAGGCTATCACAAGTAAAGCTGTTACAAACATTTATGCACAGGTTTTTGTGTGAATCTATCTTCATTTCTCTGGTATAAATGCCTAGGAGTACAACTGCTTGGTTTTATGGTAGTTGCATGTTTGGTTTTTAAATAAACTGCCAAACTGTTTTCAAAGTGACTGTACCCTTTTACATTCCCACTGGAAAAGACTGAGTAATTCAGTTTCTCCATATCCTCACTGTTTGGTGTTGTCACTATTTTTCATTTTAGCCATTCCAATAGGTATGTAGTGATATCTCATTGTAGTTTTAATTTGCATTTCCCTAAATGTCTAATGATGTTGAATATATTTTCATGTGCTTGTCCACCATCTGTATATTCTCTTCAAGTGAAA